GGATCTTCGCTGGACAATGAGGTATTGTGGCCATTAGAATGCATTAACCGTTTTTAATGCATTCTAATGGGTTTTTTACTTTCGCTTGATGACGATTTCGTTGTACAGCGATTCTGCTGGAACGGATTATCGTCGTCAAGCAAGGCACCACTGTAGTCCAAAACATCAGGAGGACACCACAGTGGGAAAAGGCTAATCTAAATTGAAACTTTCAGAGTCAGCAATCAAGTTAATACAGAATTAACAAAAACATGGATTCCTTTTCTGGGGAAACTAGGCTACACAAATGGGGGTGGCATAATTTATTACAATGGAGAATGAGGAAGTGAATAACCTCCAAACAAGAAGGGCATGTGGCTGCCCACACACATGTCCACATCCTAGCCACTATCTTTTCTTCCTGGGCTGGTTTAAAAGGCCTTCTCTCCCCCACCATTAGCAGCTCATGTGCAAAAAGGGATCTGTATAGGACCTTGGGGGGAGGGGAGAGAAGAGAGCTATCACAAAACATTCTTTGTGTCAGGAAAAAAAGAGCTGTACTGAAGTAACTGGGAGACAGTGACAGTCTACACAGGGTTCTCTCCATACAGAAATAGCAATCCTTCTTTTTACCTTCTCTTCCAGTGACTTGAATACACCTCTTTTCTTCCTGAGGTAAAATAAAATTGGTGTAAGCTCAGCAAGGTTGAATTCAGTGGGGTATGTCAAGACACCTTTAGAGAGCCGCAGGTTAAGCACCAAGGCAAGGAAGAAGTGATTCCATTCCAGCAAGAACACACCAGTACAAATGCTTAATTTTTTGATTTTTAATTTTTAGAGTGAAGCCACAAAGGCACAGATTCCCATAATTATTAAACACCATACAATACATGTGCCCATATGGTCATCTACAATCTTCTGCAAAGGTGTAAACTTTGCTTGATTAGATGATTTAAAATGAAATCATGGAGTGACATGGAGTGGAAGGTCTGTACCCCCAGCAGGGGTCCTCAGAACATCCAAGTGATTACGGGTAGAGGGAGATATGGCGATGGCACACTCCCTACTCGTGACAGAAGAACATTGAACAGATGTTTGAAGGCTGTTCACTGTTTTGGGACTGTGACCAGCTGCCAGTCTCAAGGTAGTCAGATCAGCCAGCCCTCCACTCTAAAACTGGTGCTGCTAAATGCCAGGTCTGTGTCCAATAAATCCCAGATTATTCAAGACCTCATTCTGGAGGAGGATGCAGACCTGGCGTGCATAACTGAGACCTGGATGGGCGGGGAAGGGGGAGTCTGTGGCCCGCTCTGTTTGTTTTCATCTGTGGCGGATCGTCCAGCTGCGACCCTACCTTGATGGGGGGGGTCCCTCACCACTCTTGTCCACGCGATCGTAATCTCAAGATTAGACCACTGTAATACGCTCTACATGGGGCTCCCTTTGATGTGGAAGCTCCAAATGGTGCAGAATGTGGCGGCCAGAATTCTTAGTGAGGTGAGAAAATACCAGTATATCTCTCCCACTCTGGCTGCCTTACATTGGCTGCCCATTCATTTCAGCATTGACTTCAAAGTGTTAATGATGACGTTTTTTCGTTTCATTTAGTCGTTTAGTTGTGTCTGACTCTTCGTGACCCCATGGACCAGAGCACGCCAGGCCCTCCTATCTTCTATTGCCTCCCGGAGTTGTGTCAAATTCATGTTGGTTGCTTCGCAGACACTGTCCAGCCATCTCATCCTCGGTCGTCCCCTTCTCCTCTTGCCATCACACTTTCCCAACATCAGGGTCTTTTCCAGGGAGTCTTTTCTTCTCATTAGATGGCCAAAGTACTGGAGCCTCAGCTTCAGGATCTGTCCTTCCAGTGAGCACTCAGGGTTGATTTCCTTTAGAACTGATAGGTTTGTTCTCCTTGCAGTCCAGGGGATTCTCAAGAGCCTCCTCCAGCACCACAATTCAGAGGCATCAATTCTTTGGCGGTCTGCTTTCTTTATGGTCCAGCTCTCACTTACATACATCATGACAGGAAAAACCACAGCTTTGACTATTCGGACTTTTGTTGGCAAGGTGATGTCTCTGCTTTTCAAGATGCGGTCAAGATTTGTCATCGCTTTCCTCCCAAGAAGAAGGCGCCTTTTAATTTCAGGGCTGCTGTCTCCATCTGCAGTGATCATGGAGCCCAGGAAGATAAAATTTGACACTGCCTCCATATCTTCCCCTTCTATTTCCCAGGAGGTGATGGGACCAGTGGCCATGATCTTAGTTTTTTTGATGTTGAGTTTCAGACCGTTTTTTGCACTCTCCTCTTTCACTCTCATTACAAGGTTCTTTAATTCCTCCTCACTTTCTGCCATCAGAGTGGTGTCATCTGCATATCGGAGGTTGTTGATAAGCCCTAAATGGTTTGGGACCTCGATATTTGGCAGATTGCCTTCTCCCACCTAGATCTACCCAAATTACTCGGCACAGCCAGGAGGGCCTAACACCGAGAGAGGTCCAGAAAGAAAGAAGAAACCGGGCCTTCTCAGCAGTGGCCCCTCGACTATGGAACACCCTTCCAACACTGCCTGGCACCCTTGCTGGGTCTTTTTAAGAGCCATTTAAAGACTTGGCTCTTTAGGCTGGCATTCTCTCCTGTCAATTTTTGAATTCTATCTTCTTGTTTTCTATCATTCTCCATCTTGAATACACCATATTATTGATTCAATTGTTTAATGTTATGATGTTTTTATGTTTTTTATGACATTTTATGATATTTTAATGACATTTTTATTTTATGATATAATTTTTGAATTCTATCTTCTTGTTTTCTATCATTCTCCATCTTGAATACACCATATTATTGATTCAATTGTTTAATGTTATGATGTTTTTATGTTTTTTATGACATTTTATGATATTTTTATGACATTTTTACGACATTTTATGACATTTTATGATATTTGTAAGCCGCCCCGAGTAGACGCTGTCTAAGGGGATGGGGTAGAAATCTAATAAATAAATTAAATAAATAAAGCCTGGATACCCCTTTGTCAGAAATCCTTTAACTATGGCTGTCCTGCATCAGAAGAGGTCTGGACTTAATGCTCTTTGGGATCTTTTACAACTCTAGAATTCTTAACAGTTACCTATATTCTTCTAGGAAGGACATTCCTTGCACTTTTCTTTGAACGGTGCTTCTATTTTACATTTAGAAGCTGGACTTGTGACTTCGAGCACAAGTCAGGGTTTGGAAGTTCGATTGCCTGCTGGGCCTTGTAGAAGAGTCAGCTTGTGCAGTCTTAGGCAAGCCTACACAGAAAATGGTAAGCCACTTCAGTACACATTATACAGTACTTAGGAAGCCCTAGAAAGGATTGCCATTACCCTGGAATTTATACAGTTTGCTTTGCGAAGATCGGTAAGCGAAACGCTTACCGATCTTCGCAAAGCGATTTTTGCCCATAGGGGCCATCGGTATGCGATCGCATTTGCGATCGCAAAAACCTAATCGCTATACGGTGCACTCGTTAAGTGAGGCACCACTGTACTTAGAAAGCCCTAGAAAGGATTGCCATTACACTGGAATTATTATATTGTTATTACATTCAGAAGGGAAATATTATCATATCAAGGTCCTGTCAGCCTTACATCAGGGATGTTTTAAAGCAGGTTTGGAAAAACACCACCAGCACTCCTACAGATTATTAATTTTAAATGTTCCCTAAAACAAATTTGGGGGGGAAAAACACCTCTACCTTCATAAGGCTTTTAAAATACTCAGCTGGCTATTTACAGCAGGCAACGCCACTGGTTAGTGACTCTTTCAGTTACTTAAATAACTCATACATCAAAGTATACCAGAACTGACATCAATGTAATGTCCTCTAAAGCTGATTAACACTGGTTTTGATCCCATCTCCTTTCCCAAGTAATTGTAGCATAAGTTAATGAAATCTATGCAGAAAGCAAGTCTAAATGAAAAAAATCTGCAAATTCTAATTAAGACGTCATGGACAAGGGAACTGATCTCCAAAATGAAATAGATTCTGGTCTACGAAACTTACTCTACAGTGCATTACTGTAGTCTTCAAAATAACACAGAAGACCGGGTGTTTTGATGCAATAGCCTGCCAGTTACCACACCATGTATTTAGAAAACACCTCCTGTGCTTTCAATGCCATGCTCCTACATAGCACCTATGGATCCTGCTGTACCTGTTCTACTTAATGTTCTTGAATCCTGAGGCTCACCTCCTAAATCATTTCCCCCTCACTCATTTTTACCCCACCCTTTTGAAAGAACAATTGTCTTATTCTATCCTCAGCCACTGGCAAGCCCAAAGGCAGGCAGAGGCTAGATCTGAATCTAACAACAGATCTGTGGGTGAACTTGCAGTAAGTCAGGACAGTATGGCTACCATTTTTTAAAAATAGGGCCAGAACAAAATGACTTCACCTGCCCATGAATGAATAAAGCTTATGGCAAGCATTCAGGAGAGGGTGTTGTCTTAAGGCTGTAAGCTCCACTTCTGGTCCTCCAAAGAAATTCCTGGTCTCGGAATTCTTTAACTGCAAGTGCACGGTTTTATTTATTTATTTTTGCATCATGCTCTGCTTGGTGGATCGCTGGATTCTCGGCAAAAAGCAAAGGAAGCAGACCCAGCAAGGCTGGATTCTGCCACCCCGAGACAGCGCAACGCCTTTGCACGATTCCTATACAGTATAAGGCTTGCCAGCAGCCTGGACCTGGTTCCCGACAAGGCAAGGATCTTAAGCCTCGCTTTTGCCCGACGAGCGAGCCTCCCGGGGTGCCGCGGGCCTGACTTCGGAGCAAAG